AACTGAATGAATGAAATTGCATATACACCATTTGCATTCAGATGAAGTAGCTTCACTTTGATTATAAAAAAAAATTAAATAAAAGAATTGGGGTGCAACACACAAACAACATCATGTGGAAGTCAAATAAGATAAGCAAGCGACAACATTGCAAAAACAGATTACAAGAATACACTTGGTGTAAAAAAGAAACAGACAGACCATACACCATGATGTCTTAACACCTGAGTTGACGTTGCTTGTTACATTGCAGTAACGCACTATATTCTGGAAGTAAATGTGTAACTGCAATTGTGTAAACCTGACTTTCTGTCGAACATCACTTAAATGACCTTGAGGACAAAAATGTTCTCCCATCTACCTCTCAAACAGCTTTACCTGCATTTAGCATAATAGTGAAGCGTATAATCAAAATGCAAAGATGAAAATGTCTGCAAGCAGACACAACCTCTATATTTAACTTTACAGATTAATTCACCATGACGACTATGGCACACAGTCAACCCAATACCGGTGTGCAGTAGTGAACACATGATACACACTAACTATAATTGCAACAAAAAAGAGGGTTTCAAATAAGTACTGAATTATTTATGTAATAAATTATTTTTACTTTGTCGCTATGGGATATAGCTCGAAGACTCTTTAAAAATAAATGCATTTAATATTAGAATGCACCAATTTAAAAAATCAGTCCGGTAAAATAAACCAATAATATTTATTTGGTTATGGCTGATAACTTATAAAAGGCACAATAACAATAATGCATACAATTTCATCTAAAAATACTAATAAAACACACTGAAAATTAATGTCTAACATTGATATGGTTCTGATATTGTGCAAAATGGGTCTAAATGGGGCTTTTACGCCTGACACAAGACAAAACTAAATACAGCATCAGGGCTTCTGAGATGGCACTTAAGGTCAAAAGTCATTCAAGGCCATACACTGTATTTTCAAAGAACCTTGTTTTAAATTGGTTTGTAAGCATTTTGCCAATTCCCATCATTCAATTTTTAATCAATTTCTGTCAGTAAAATAATCAACTAATGCCTAAACAATGACCTGCCATTACCAACACTTCATTTGTTACATGTGTGTACGATTTCCTAAAACAATGAAAGAGAGGAAGAGTTGGAGACAATCATGGGATGTAATTCAGACGGAGTCTGTATCCTGCTCTATATGCCAGCTGTCTAAAAGGTTGTCCCTGTCAGGTTTTAACATTAATCTCCTATCGAAAACTGTGCAGAACAAACTAACTCAAGCATCTTCAATTTACATTATGAATTTTAACAATCATCTTCATGGCAAACTGCCAAACCAAGCCACTGCATGGGGTCTACACACAATAGGATTATTATTGATTAGTAGTATTAATGATTTGCGTGGAGGGTTAAAGGTGTCTTTCATTGTTGTGCTCATTAAAACAAGAGCTCTGAGGTCAAATCCCTAACTCTAATAGTCAGATCTGTGACTCCTGAGGGAAATCAGGCAAGCTGATCTTTTATAAGGCTACACTGACAGACACACAGACTGGGGTGCAGGTGTTTCATTCTGACAGATGCCTTCCATTGTGACAGCTGCAATCACTATGGAGAGAATCTGAGTGAAGCACTGCCATCAGAATAGATATGAGCAGCACAGCAAAACACTGCATATCAGTTATAAACATTCATGCATTTCCATTACAGATCAGCAGTGCGTACAAATATTATGTTAAGTACACACAAACAATCAGCATAAGGTCACTGAATGCTGAAACAATTTTTTTTATGTTACCCCAGGTGGTTTGCCTTGCATTCATACAAAGACAATACTGTAATGTTTTCATCATCGTGTTATAGCATCTATATTCCTTGTGTTTTCAGAGTTTCAACTTGATTTTCTTCATCAGTAATTAAATTCAGTTTTCAGTTTTAACTTGATTTTGTTCATCGGTAATTAAATTCAAGGTGGTTGAAAAGGTGCAATGAATCACTAAACTTTAACTCTGCACCACTTTAATTAAAGTTTTCCATTTTAGAGGGCTGAAATTTTTACAGTTTAAGAAGTTTTACAGTGCACGCCTCTTAAACCAAAATGCATTAATAAATTATTGCGAAAAACGGGTTCTGAAAAACAACAACAGACCTCTCAAAATAAAGTTAATTTTGCTTCATATAGTGATTCCCTAACTTGGGATTAATTTGAAAAAGAAAGTTTGTATGTAAATCTGTTAAACACCTGAACAGAGATTCGTTCCTGCAGACTTGACAGACGGCTTGAATACACAACACTGGCATAAACAATGGCTCTCCACAGCAAGCGCTAATTACGGTAGACATGGCAAGCCAATTTTACATTTACACCTTAGTCAGGGACTCAGGGTAGAGCCTAATTAAATTTTTGACAGGAATGAAAACGAGGCTGTGAGGGACAGAAGTACAGTGCGTTCAATGGTACTGTAACAATATAGCCTACAGATTGTTCAGCTGACAAAACCTCTTTCTGAAAAAAAAAACTTTCAGTACGAAACCTCTATAAAACAGTTATAGGAACAAGTTGTGACTTGTGACAATTACATGATCTAAGACCTTTATACAGTGCGTTCCATTGTAAAGATTTTTTTTTATATATTTACAGTTTTATTATTCCAATAATGACTTCTTGTTGTTACTAATCATCCAAATAGTAACATCTACTGTTACTGGTAACAAATGGCAAAATATTTGAATTCCATGTATTCAAATATTCAATATTCATATGCATTTCGTTTCAGGGCTCCAGACTAGGGCTGGACAATAATTCAATATCAATATGTATCGCGATATACTTTTTTTCAATAACGGTGATATGATTTTTAAACACATTTCCGATATTTCGATATACATTACCAGTTTCCCATACATTGATTTATTTGTGCCGTTTGTGCCATTTAACATGAGCACTGCACGTTTCAAAATCATAACACGGCGCGGGTGTTTTATATGAATGTATCTCTGAAGGGAATTGACTGTCTTCAGAAAAGTCAAAATATTTCTATTTCAGATAAATAGTGTTCATATCGATATCGGAATTATATCGTATCGACCGAAATTAAGAAATATATCGTGATATCAATTTTGGCCATATCGTCCAGCCCTACTCCAGACTAACATTTGAGAGCAGTGGCACCAGCGCCACTAAGTTCTACAGATAGTGGTGCCAGGAGCAGATTTGGTTACACTGGGGGGTTGGTGTGTGGGAGTATTAAAAATAAAGATAATTTAATCATAAAATTACTATTGTTTTGCATTAATAAGTGCAGTTACTAATAATATTACACATTAATTTCTTGTTTATTTCACATTTATACACATTTAACAGTAAAGCACTTGAGTAAAGCTTGAGTTGGGAAGCATACAAAATTTACTTTAATAACAATAACGTGCAAAATCTAATTGTTATATAGAAAATTTATATATTCTACTCTTATTAAATGTACCATTATTCTTCTATAGTATTATACTGGTATTATACTGAACTGACTGACAACTTCATTGATTATAAAAGGAATGCTCTTTATGTGTGATTCAGTCTCAAATTGAAGAAAAGTTTGTTTTTCAAGGCACTTTGTGAATTTTCTTACTTCATACACAAAAAAGTGCAAACCTCTGACAAAATTTGATTTCTTGATGATTTTATATTTTATTTATTTTATAATTTCAAAATATAAAGCAAAAAGCAGAAATGAATGACTAATAAGCCAATAAGTGCTCCTCTGCTGCCATCTACTGGTTATAGTGGTAATTTGATGTCTCTTTTTTACATTTTACATAAGTGTATTTTGGTCATTTCATTAAAAAAAAACATTCAAATTGGATCATTATTAGAGTTTTAAAGTGCTAGAAATAGTTGTGTGGAATACTTGAAAATCATTGAAAAGAGCTTGAATTTCTCTCTCAAAAGGTTGTACAAACTCTGAAATGAATTAATAACATTCGACTATTTCTGCCACAACACCATGGTTATAGTTAGCGTTACTACTTCTGGTTTTCTATGTCAGTGCTGTGCAGAATTCAAATGCTTCTCACTGGATCTCGCAGCGCTGTGCAGTAACAGTGTTGTGAGATCAACACTGGTTCCCGAGTAAACCTGTTCTGAGCTCAGACAAGGTTGCTTGTGCTGCACTCAATTATTGATCCAAGCTGAAAAATGGTCCACGCTGCGCAGCTCAAACGAGTAGCACTGTTATGTTACGCTTTTGTTTTGTTTGCCGTTTGATGTTTCTCATTTGAGTTGGACCATGCGGTGGTCGCACCAGTGCGACCGCTCAAAAAATGTATTTGCACCGGCAGAAAGAATGGTCACAGTCTGGAGCCCTACATTTGTTGCTGGTATGTATTCCACGTCTACTAACAACTATTCTACAAGAATACAGTGTTTAATAAATATGTAATAGTGTCTATTCAATTAATACTAGAACCCTGAACATAAATAAGTAACTATGTGCTATTATGTAATGAATAAACATTCTCTTTTGGAATACGTACTAGTAGTACATTACATTGTAATACCATGAACTATAATATATACTGTAATATTGTGAAACTAAAAAATTATGATTATTCATGTTAGTCACTATTGGATAACTTTTATTCATTAACCTAAAACTACTAATGCTGCTAACAACAAAATTAGGTATTAGTTACTTCAAGCAATACATGTTAATATGGCTTGCCACAAGTACATACAGGCCTAGATCTAAACAGAGCAGCGTCTGGTAACCGTGCACGAACCCATGCACCCGTCGCTGAAACCTGCTTATGACTATCTATCGACTCTTTATGACTATCTATCGACTCTTTATTAAACCGAGTCAATGCTAATGATAATAAATTTGAAGCCAGTTCGTGCAAGTGAATTAGCGCGTTACTGCATAGAACCCAGCCAAATGCGCGGCGCACAGTTGCGCCTTCTCGCAACTAATACTGCTGCTTAGCGGGACAGCAGGCCGAAACCGGAGCACCACTCACCGATGTGGTTATCTTCGATGTGAACGATGAGCTCGCCCAGGGACTCAAAATGCAGCCCGCAACCGCCAAACCGGCAAACGTTGGAGAAGAAGGAGGCAGCCGCGACGCCCGTCATAATGGATGTGTTGGCAGAGGTCCGTGAGCTTGCAGACCGGCGAAGGCAGAGGCTGTGCGGGATGGGGGTGATCAAATAGCCGGCAGCTAGTTGCAGCAGCAGCGGCGGTGGTGATTGCAGCTGGAGCTGTTTAGACGGCTGGCAGCCAATGGGAGGGGGATGGGGGCCAAAGCAGCACGACGGAGGAGCAGCAGGAGGATGAGGAGGAGGGGCTGGCGAAACAAACATGCTGCTGTTCACCTGAGCGGAGAAAGGAGAGGAATGCTTGACTGAGAAGGGCCACATAAGCAACTGTATTATTGATTATTTCAATGCATCTTTTGCTACCCTTCCAGCTAGGCTTTAAAAGCATAAGGTTTAGCCTATTGGTCCAACTGCCTGGGAGTGCAGAAACTCTAATCCCAATTAACTTTTTATCTAATACACTAAAATGATTATTATTTACACAAATACTGGCTGTGTGACTCTTTCAAGTGTTCATAAACCAAGCACTTTTGTAAAAAAAAAATTTTTTTAATCATACTATACAATAGTAAAGCATTGGTCTTTTTATTTATTTATTCTTATTTTTTTATGTGTGTAAATTTAATTTACTGTGGAGTACATTGTTGTAATGACAGATTAAAAAAATTAAAATATGCAATTAAATCATTATTATTTTAATTTAACTGTAAAAGACCATAAAAATAAACCCGTTCATTGTTTAATGGTAAGTTCCCTTAATGGTGAAAAACTGTAACTGCTATGACCCAATTAGTATTTACCACAGCTTGTGGAAAAGTTTATTGTGATGCATTTTGATTAATCATGTGTCTTTCTCTTTTCTCTTGTTGTTATGATTTTACAGTTTACAGTGTAGTGATTGTAATTCCTGCAAGTACATTCATGCCACCTCTGTGCAGCATTAAACGGTGTGTAAATGCACTTTTCAGCATGTGTGTGTGTGTGAGTGTGTTGAGCTTTCTGTACCACTTTTGCAGCATAAGTCTCAGATCTAATGATTTCAGATATGTTTCTTATAAATGACCACCATCTCGACTCTTTCAGTACATTCTTTTCAGTTGTAATAAAGAATGTACAATTACAGCAAATATTTGAATTCAACTACACAATAGCGGAATGTCATGTGACTATGTCCAATGTCTGTGTATTAGAGTATTAGACCTACTGGAATTTTTTTACTAAAGAAAAATGTTGACCTCCCACCTCTTTAAAACTTTGACAAGACTGGGAATCTGTCAGGTGTGACACAAGCATCCATGTAAGGCACTGTGTTATCACAAAGAGCAGGAGGAATGTCCCTTTGATCAGCCAGTGACTGACCGTGTGCTGACCATCACTTGTTAATCAACCGTTAAATCTCCCTGTTATAAATGTTCTCTGCCGTTGGCCTATGTAAATAAGTGAGAGACTAAATTACCAAATATTTTCCATGGCACTGTTTTTAAACAAATAGACTTGCATAAACATTTACTCCTGAAATACAATATTTTCTCTTCAGCTTCATAGTTTTGTGCGAATACAGTACATATACGAACAACTCCCAAGACTCAAATTGTACTGAAAAGCTCATAAACCTACAGACAGCTTTTTGAGACATACCATATAATGTTATAATGTAAAGCCAGCCAGATGTTAGTAAATGCAACCATCTGCCTCAAACAAGATAGACCTAAGCAGCCAATGCCAGATGCTAGAAACTGTGAGGAGGTCATGCCAGGTCAAACAACATGACTGAACAATATCAAAGGGTTAAGGATTTATTTAGTTCCAAATGCTTGATTAATCCAATATCACTCATGTGCAATAAATCTTTGAGACTTTTAAAGATCTACCTTGAGACTGAAGTATTACAAACTATGTGAAAAATTACAGACATGTGACCTGCTACACACATGCACATACTGCATTCATTCACATACAACCAAAAATGTCCAAAAATTTGAGAAAACATCAAAAGAATAACCACATATAGCTCTGATATCAGAGTCAGCATTTCATTTTAGTTTATTATTGTTATCTATAATGAATTGCTGTTTCTCTTTTGTAAATCAATTACATCATGCATCAATGTAAATATAAATTTTTAAGTTGTGTTAATTAGCAAAAATCACCAATTTCATTGTGTATACTTTAAATGGTGAACAAAAGGTGAACTTGACACAGTTCCTTTTTAAGGTGAATTATATGATGGCAGAAACATGGATGATGTCATATGAGACTTGTGGGTGCATGTCCTCTGCTGCCTTGTCTCTGTGTGTGTATGATTCATGCTCATAGACGTAGGAGTCAGCTAAGGCTGGAGTTTGATGTGACATCATTACCACTTCCTGTTTTGTGGTGTTACTGAGGAAACAGCTACTAGCATTCTAAGTTAGAGCAGGCAAATGAGACACTCTCTCTTTCTCTCCCTCTCACTTGTTCTGCCTTTTTCTTTCACTCTTTCCTTATAGTGCTTACCACAAAAGGACCACACTGTTCTGAACATTAGACACACCCCTTAGTTTTACGATAATCGGAATGTATCCACATTCTGTCATATATGTGAAATCATGACATCTGTTTTCAGTAGTTTAACACAATATGGTTAGACACTACGTTAAACTTTGATAACCTGTCGCAAGTGAATTCATCAAGATATCTATTTTTCTGAGTGTGAAAAGCTTAAAAATCTTGGCACCTGTTTTTCATCCTTATGCATCAGGTTAATATCATAATATAAAACATCTCTGACAGCTGGTGGCATACTTTGTGGCTTTAGATTTTTGTTTATGAAGCATTCTGGCAGCTATTTTGACTATAGCATAAGTCAGAGCCATTTGTTCACTAGAATCATTTGAGGAAAGAAAGAAAAGAAAGCATGCAGTTTATATCTTTGACCACCTGAAAAACAAACATATGGCTGGTAACAGTTTGTAATTTAACGTTTTCAACCAAAGGCTAACACGCTTATACATGCCCCTTTACTCTCTTCCCTCTATCATCACACGCCATTCGCTAATCGGGACCGTCCCGCGCACCGCTCCAGACAGCTGTTGGCGCAGCACGCACCGAGCGAAGCACCTCCCTCTTCTCTTTTTTCCCCCCAACGCGCCAATGGCACCAGACGCCCGCTACATCCTCCGGTTGGCGGGTGCGCGCAGTCTGAAACCCCTCCTCTTTTTAAAAAGCGGACCCTGTTTTTATAGTCTATATGAGCGGACCGCAATGATTTAGAAGTTCAGGAATCCCACGTGACGTCACCGCGAGGTGATGTAATGCTTCTGTAAATAGATCATATTGTAATCGCGTTTCACTTCAGCGTGCTTCGTCCCAGCGCGAGGAGCGTTGCTAATCTCAGTCTGCGTGCGTTTAGGTAAGTTAGTATTACTATTTTACACTCGCTTGTGAATATAATTTTACACTTAGTTCAAAACACAAACGTAACGCGTGTCTTGCACAGTGTTGTTGGGATTTTTGTTGCTGTTGTTCTTGATTTACTGTGAAGTTGGTAACGTTATCTGTCAAAGTGCCGGTTTCCATTAAAATATTGGTAAACTGTTTAACTGTTTGTCTGTTTAAGGGGGTGTGACACCACCAAACAATCAGACAAATTGAGTATTAGAATATAAAATGTTTTGACTCTTTGTAAAATGGAATGGATGTCTGTAATTTTTAGTTAAGATTGTCACTTGTCAACTACGCGTTTAGGTGAATGGTTGTTTGACAGTTGGCGGTTCAAAGCCTATTTGAATGTAACATTTTTAAATGTTATATAGCACACGTGCGCGTCTTTTGAATGAGTAAGTTAAGTATTCGCATTTGCTTTGGTTTTATTATTATTATTATTTTTTTTTTTTACACCCTGTATGACATCTGCCGTCACGCATAATCCAAAGTGACTCAGACAACTTTACGATGTTTTTTCTTTCCTAAAATGACACATTATTGCCCCTGGGTAGGATGTTTGGGTTTGTAAAATTCGTGACACCGCGTGAGTCCTCCGGTTTCGCCATTACGTCATTCTGCAGGCCGGTTAGACGATTGGCATTGGCACCGTAGACCCGTCTTGCCAATTCAGAATCTCGCCCCGGCTGAACTAAATGATGTTGTCATGACTAGAGGAATGCTCACGTTATGAGTGACCGGGCAAGTAGGGTCTTTTTATAAGGCGCGACTATGATGTAATACGTATCATATACAGAGAACACGTAGAGAAGAGAACTCAAACAGGGAAATGTGAGCAAAATATAGAGAACTGAGAGGAATTCAAATAGTTCATCCATTTTTAAAACTATGTTTCACTAATTTATAGATCTTATATATTTAATATATATTTATAAATATATTTAATATATATTTATATTTATATCTTATTTATAGCTCGGCTGTCATAGATCTGTCTGTCTGTCTGTCTGTCTATCTATATCTATCATCTTTTATTTTCATAAAGTCTATGTTGTATCTCTATATGGATGGACTGAAAGGTAGATAGACAGCCAGCCAGACAGACAGACAGACAGATAGATAGATAGATAGATAGATAGATAATAAGGAAAGTCATCCATATTTGGCACTATATTGCTTATAGGTGTTATTTACATCTGTCTGTTTGTCTGTCTAATTGTCATGAGCACTTTTTCATGTCATCTCCCTTGTGTGCATGTGTTTGTATGTGTGTGTACATGTGTGTATATATGTATGTTTAAGTTTTTAGATCTCAGTGATGAATGTTGATCAGGACAGGCCATATGTATGCACTGCTCCTGGATGCTCACAGGTAAGAAACAGATGTCCAGTTTGCTGATGTTTGTCATATCATTCAGAGCTACAACTATGTGTTTTATGTATGCTGTCACAAGTTTTACCCATCAATTACATTGTTAAATTGAATCACATTTCACAATTAATTACTATTGAAAAATTATGATTCATATTGGAACAACTATTGTATCCTTTATGTAATTCAGCATTGTCACGGCCTCCCATGTTTCTTGTTCTTGTAGCGCTTCCAAAGAGAAGATCACCTAATTATTCACAGACACAAACATGAGATGACCCTTAAATTCCCTTCTATTAAGTGTGACAGTATGCTTTCAGGTAAGGGTGTGTTCATAAAAAAACACACATAATTAACCACTCATGTCAACGGCTAATGTTTTATTATCAATGCAGTTTTAATATCTTCTATGCAGCTAAAGAGTTTCAATCTACAGCTCGTAGGTCAGTAATACAGGTACATCTCAATAAATTAGAATGTTGTGGAAAAGTTCATTTATTTCAGTAATTCAACTCAAATTGTGAAACTTGTGTATTAAATAAATTAAATGCACACAGACTGAAGTAGTTTAAGTCTTTGGTTCTTTTAATTGTGA